ACTGTGTCTTGGTGATTGGGCTGGGGAAGGGGGGGGTGTCTAAGTTTTTTTTTTCCTTGCTGTAAGAGCCCTAATGGTATGTATTTTGTTATTTAATGTGAAATGGCCACAAGGCAGGTCTCTTGTCCCCTTCCCTTGTGCTGCATAGTCCTACCTGTTCAGAGGCAGTGACTCTCAGAGCCTTTTTGGAGGCTTTAATGACCTTCAGGGCTGCTGAGAATATCTGTCTCTGACAAGTCTGTCCCTCTGTGCTGCGAGGTGGGAGTTATGCGCCTAGTCCACTTGGGCAGAGGTGGGAATCAAAACGGAGCATCCCGTATCTTAAGAAAGTACTTTATCTGTTGTGCTGTTGTATAAAATGAGACACCAACTTATTTCTGTTTGTGTATTCATTTGTGTAGTTGGTAAGGCGCCTGCTTCAGGGAGGGAGGTCAGGGCTGTGAATCCCATGTTGGAAAGAGACACTTTCTCATATCACAAGTTTAGGTGACAAAGATCAAAGTCAATGATTGACAAGTACATTTCTACTCAGTGTTTCTTAGTAGCTACTTTAGGACCACATCTTGAACATGGTATGATTTCTAGCATCCAGATGCCTGATCCTGTCCACACAGTATGTAGGAAACACAGTGCTTTGGTTTCCACTCCATAGATTTAGAACAGTTAAATGTTGGTCTTTAGGACAACAGCACTTCAGACCCTACCTTGCTTTACCCTCCATGTAATGCTGTTCTTATGTACTTGCTTAATTTTGCTGTCACGAGTAGGTGTTCTGCCCGAATGAAGCGCTAAGACACCTGAATTAGGGATGCAGATCCCCCTATGAAACTGCTTTTATGGTCCACATCTACAGATGTGAGTGTCGCTTCGGTCAGCCCCTTGCCAGGAACACGTGGACTTATTTTTCCAAATTCAGGTGACCACTTCTGGATTTAGAGGAGTATTTATGCACTCCTGCATGACCCGTGCACTTAGCTGTTTGCATTTTTCACTGACTTCATAGCTCTGTTTCATCCAGTTATACATTAACCCCTGCTCAGATTGCTGGGGGTAAACATGATGAGCTGTCTGAAAACTATTCATTGTATCTAGAAAGGGGAATTTGTAATTTCTTTCCTGGCTCTTAGCATGGTCACATTGATGTATTTCACTTCTCTTTTGCTGGGCGCTCTCTCATAGAACAATTTAAGTTTTGAGTTTTATGGAGTAACAGTCAGTGTTATATTCTTGCCGTTTTCTGACACAGGTCATTCAAGGCTATACATTTTCTTACACCGACATAAAGCATGTTTTGAATTATTGCTATGATGATCATGTGTTTATTTTAAAGTTAAAGTATTTTTATAAGCTTTTGTGACTGGTAAAATGTGCAGCCTTTACTGTATAACTTTGATGACAACATGGCGGAAGATGTAGAAAACTTGTGCCTAGTTATTCATTGGCCAAGGTCTTTTATTTTGTCCATGTTTGGAGATTATCCTGCCCAGCACTGTGGCTTTTGATCACCTACGTCTAAATAACACATACATCTTTCTCAACTGTTTACCAGACAGATGGAAGAGAGCCACAGTGCTGTGCAGAGGCAGCACAGAGCCACTTGCTAAAGGAGACGTGCCTTTATGTTACTCTTTTTCTGTGGCTGTGGCACAGCATACAGCCAGAGAGTGTTCAGCTCCGACAGGAGGATCAGCTTGGTGAGCTGTGCTTGCTGGGTTGTTTCAGTACCAGAACAACTCAGCTGTGTCATATTTGGGTCATTTTTACCTTAGTAAGCACGTGAAATCCATTACCGACACCTTTCAGAGCTACAATTCTGGGACACCGTCGCTCTCACAAGAAGTGCCAGTTTGTCCTGGCAGTCTTATGTGTCGTTCCATTAGCTGTGCTAGAGTTTTGCATCTGCAGTGAGAACACACATTTTGAATGGGTAGGGGAGGTTTTTGAGAGGTTTTGTTTGAAAATGCATTTTGTTGATACTCCTCATCTTTCAGGCAAGCACAGCTTTGCTGCACATTACTGGTACCCAGTGCAGCAAGCTATTGCCTGCTGCCGTGTTAACCTGGAGGAAGGTCTGCTTGTGGTCCCCATAAGACCCAGATGACTTGTAGCCAGTGAGGCAGGCTGGAGGCAATTAGTGGGGTTGTAGGAATGCAGTGTGTGATGTGGATGTTTGTGACGGTTTTATCACTTTTTAAACTATGTGGGCTTGTCCAGTGGAAATAAGTTACTAGCACAGTCAACGTGTAATTAATAATGCTCTCCCTTGCATTCAGCAAAATCTTGAAATACTTCTTTTGTTACAAGGTTAGTTTGATGTTGTCACCCATTCATGCATGTTTGAAATTGGGGGTCAGAGTAGGAGTAAGGAGGTACAGCGGGGTCATATTGCAACACAAAGCGCAAAATAACCTGCTACCTTTTGTCTGTTCATTTAGAACCCCAATGAATATTTAGTTAGACATCTCACCTTTAACAGCAACCTGACTGGAGCATTGCCAGAAAAACATACAGCATTTAGCAGTGGTAATCAATAAAAATTTACTGATGGAAAGTACCAAAGATAACATATTCTGATATATCTTCTTGTATTTCCAGCAGCTTTCTTCAGAAGTTGTTACTTAGGTTGTTATTCTCTTACAGCATTTTAAAATAATGTAACTTGTGGTATTAGAAAATGCTATATAAATAAACAATGTGAAGTAATACAGGGATTTTGTTGTTTCTGTCTTGGGGCGAGTAATTCATAGCACAGTCCATTAACTGACTGTAGAGACCTCAGCAGTGGGGACTGTTGCTGAAGTCAAAAAACTGCCTCCATAGGCTCAGGTTTACACTGTGATTTGGGAATCCCTAACGCCTGGGCTGTTTTTCAGGGGTGTGTATTGAACTTTTGCAGCCCAGCACTGGAGCTGAGTACCACCCTTGCCAGTTGTACCCAGTGGGTTTATACACAAGAGGGAGCGTGTGCTGGGGAATGTAAAAAGCATAGAAGAAGCAATGGAGAGCCTGATGTTTTTTTTTCTTCTTGGTTGTTGGTTTAAGACCAGCCCTTGGAAAGCTTTACTTGCCACAAAAAAGTACTGCCAGTTTCGCCAAATCATATGTCCATATGATTTTAGCTGCCGAAGTCTGATGAACTGCTGTAGAAAGCAATGCTTTTATACTATTTATAAACAGGGCTTTGGGATCTTGGCAGACATAAGGAAATGGTTTGTAGCCTTAGCAATTCTCAGGATGGCAGTCACTAAAATCATGTTAAAATTCTTGCAGGAGGGAGAAGCAGAATCAGAAGTGTAAGGATGTTTTAATGCTATGAGATCCCTCAAGTCCTGCCAGGACTAGAAACCAAATAATTTGTAGTGTGCCATTTCTAAATGGGAATTTCCAGTTTTCTCTAAGTATAGAGCTTACCCTGTTCTTGGGCTTTATGAGATAGCATCTTAAAATTAAATAAAAGCTGTGGTGTAGCATGGCAGTTTTGGCAGTGATCCAGGGCTTTTTTTTTTTCCCAAAAGAACAAATGCCCCAGACCTTGACAAGTGTAGTTTCTAATCCAGTGCCGTTTCTTCATTATAACTTTTCTTTCAATCTGTTGGCCATAAGTATGTTGGATGAGGCTTTGACCAACCTGATCTAGTGAAAGGTATCCCTGCCCATGGCAGGGGGGTTGGACTAGATGATCTTTAAAGTTCCCTTCCAACCCAAACCACGCTATATCATTCTGAGATGTTCCGAAAACAGTGACCTTGCTTTAGAAATATAGTCTGGGGAGTCTTTAGTGGTACCTTTTCCTTTTCCACCTTTGCAGAAAAGAATGGACACTAAGATGGATTTTTTGCATAATTTTCAATAACAGACAAACTGGAATTAAGTTTATTGAGAATTTTGATTTCAGATATTTTGCTGAGTATGAGACATTCTCTATCACATCATTCTTATGCTAGCCTATCTCTCAGTTCACTTCCAATGGTAATGCTTGACCTAACAGCATCTTAAAATAAGGAAAATTATATTACAACTGTGATTATTTTTTTGGGCCTGTTTTCACAGTCTAGAACAAGACTGGTTTCCACTTTGTCAAATTTCTCTGCTTTTACAATCAGAAGATAATACAAGGCCTTGCCTACCAGCTTATGCAGACTGATAGTGTTTCTGTAGAACTTGATTAGGTTTTCTGCTGCTTAAAGCCATGAAATAAAGTGTTGGCCCCAGCTTTTCATAATGTTTGCAGTCATGAACACACTATTAAAAACTACACTCTGAACTTCTGTTAATGCTTTCTGCTGAAACTGGTAATTTCTCATTTTTGTGCCAAAAGGAGATCAGATGCAGTCTTCATCCCAAACATCTTGTTCATGGGTAAAATCTTGATTGATTGCTGTCATCCTGTAAAGGCACTATCAGTGGTATTTTATTTATCTCTCTCTTACAATTTTGTTGCTGTTTTCTTTTAAGAACAGTAATCTGCTTTATTGGTTTAAAATTAGTATTTATGTTGCTCCTGGTAGGTAGAGTGCTTTAGGATAGTCATTATTTGACTGCAGTTGAACAGTATTCCATTCATATAATGTATCAGATGTTAGGTATTTTATGTATAGGCCAGAATCATGCACATTTTGTCCCAGCCCATAAATTTTACCCTATGTACTTCCGCAACCACAGATCTCTACAAAGTTCTAGCATACATGGAAAACAGAAGGATTTGCTAACGAAGATACAGGAATACTTATTTTAAAGTTAATGAATGATTCCATGTTACCTTTTAGAGTCTTGTCAACTATGGCACATATAGCAAGTGTTAGGCTTCTTGGAACATATAGCAAGTGTTAGGCAATTACAGAGTGGGCAGATTTTAGAGTGACCGCACAAATATTACTCAAATTCTAATCCTAAGATTTGGTGCTTAATGTTTAACTTTGCCATTTTTATGACAGTATATATATGCATGAGAAAATGGTTTGAGATTTAATGGCATATTTTCCACAATTTCTCTTTTCCAGAGCAGAGACACTCTACACTTGATATCCTCAGGAAACTCAAGGCTCCACCTACTTTCTTTGCTGCAAACAGACTTTCTGCCATGCTGAGTGGAAGTGATGAAGTATATGCAAACTGCATGGTAGTAGACCAAGTAAGCTCAAGTTTGAACTTTTGGCAATTTTTTCATCGTCCTCTGTTGAAGTAACTTATTTATGTGATAGTAGCTTCTTCTGGATCTGTCAGCAGTGGTGTTTGGCCAATTAGTAGAGCTCTAAAATAAAAAGAGTAATACCTTACTCTTCTCAGCTGTATTTTGTCCCTTTTAAGAGATTCAGTTGATGATGGGAATTATTCTCCCTAGCCTGTAGGGAGAATTACTGTCTTTTCTGTATTTGCTTCTTTATAAGAAACATTAACACAATGTAACTTGCTCTTGTGCACATCAGATTTTCTGAATTCGAGGTACGTTCACAAAAGAAAAATTTGCTGATGCTGGCTAATTTCAGAAGTTAGCTCATAGCTGAGCTTATAGGCTCAACAAAAATGAGTTATTATTGAAAAGGTGAAGTTGATGTCCTACAACTGTCACAGAGCATTCTGATACTGGAGATCCTGACTTAGTATGCATGTTTCTGATTTATTTGTCACCAGCACTGGAGATGAGCCAGAGTGTCCAGACTAAATTGTATTTTACATTACCATGTTGCACCTGAAATCCCTCCCCCAGGGTCGCTCTCAGATATCATAACTTGGGCAGGGGGGACTAGTCCAACTCTTGTGTATAGTGGCTGTGTGTAGTTAAACAGCTGCCAAATTCTGGTGGCACATAGCTATGTTTCAGGGATGGCTGAAGTGATTTATTTATTTATTTGTAACCTGCTGTGGGCTCTCCCTGGGGTGAAAGTTGGAATATAGGAGTAAGAACTGATCAGATCATAATGTTAGAAGAAGGCTGAGATTATGCAAGTGTGATTTTTTTTTTCCCTTTTTTTTTTCCTCCCCATTTCCTGCAACACTAATCAACGCATTCACTGCAGATCCAGTTCATTGTGACAGCTGAGATGGAAGTTTCAATCAGAGGCCAGTGTATTCAAAATGCATCTAAGATTACTGAGAGATACATGAAATAATGACCTAGGAGTGAGCAACTAGCAGGGAACTATATATGCAGTCTGTGAACCCTTGATTTTAACAATATCCAGGTCGGAAGGACAGAGCTGCAGAAGTCCAGATGCAGATGTTACCTGAGTTACATCCGTTACAGATGCAGATGTTACTGAGTGTATGGCTGGAGGGGGTCCTTCAGCTGGGATTACTAACCTTTGCTTAATATGTAGCCACATTCAAATTTGTTAAATGGCTGACTGGGGCCAAATTCTCCTAAGCGCCATGCAGCAGGAGCCAGATCGACTGCTGGAGGAGGTTCCTCTGGTGCCCAGGGGAAATGCTGCCCAGGCAGGAATAACTTTGAAGGGAGGAACAGCTGTGTAAGACCTGGGAGAAGCATTTTTTCCTTTGTGCATCTCATCTGCACCACGTAACAGAAGTACTTCCAGACTTGCATGTGCTGTAGCTTTGAATGCAAATTGGGCTGCTGTAAAAGTGCCAGCAGTTCTTTCTGCCTTTTACTAAGAGAAACATAATTATGATGGGGATGTAACACATCTCAAGTGGGTCTGGAGAGGAGGAAGTCAGCAATCTGAAAGACCAGGGCTTTGCTTGCCATCCTTCCTTTCTTCTTACTTCTATACAAGTGCTTTTTGGAGGTTGAGCGTTTACACGGGCCGTGTGACTTTTCAGTATTATTTAGCATCTAAATAGACAACAATAATAGTAATAGACTAGTAAAAGACTGACAATAAACTGTATTTTAGTATCTTCTGCAGAGTCAACCAGAGAATTCAACCTCGGTTGCACAAAGAATTATTTGTTACCAGGGTCTAAATCCTGATCCCTGTAGCTGAGAAAACATAATTCCCAACTCCATTCCTGTCTTTGTGCAAGAGAAGGGGTGCTTCATGCCCATAATTGCTTCATGGCAAAAAATAAAGATTCCTTCCCTTCTTCCCCTGGAGAACCTCTGTTCCAGGTCATGTATATTTATTTCAAAGCTTAAGAAATTGGTGCTGGAAAGTTAAAAGTGCATGATGTGTAGGCTGATTTTTCCCGATTAAATTGCACAATGTTTGAATTCTTCATATGTCTCCCACACTAATATGTTATGCATATTTTTAATAAAAGCTATAAATACATGAATTGGTACATTTAACAAAAGATATAAATATGAGTGAGAAATCCATTAGACTTGCAAATACCAATTCATTGCTAGTCTAATTATGGAAAAAAAGTAATGCAAGGTCTAGAATCTCTTAGCCATATAACTTGCCTTCAATTCATGTACAGTAAAAAGCAATAGGTGAAAAAAAAAAAGGCAAAACATATAACCATAAATAAAATAGCAAACTAATCTGGTCCTTTTTCCCTGACAATACATCTTGTTACTGCCTCTTACAACCATTTGTTTTTTCTCTGCAGGCTGGAGATTTAAAGACTAACTATGTTCATGGAGATACTGTCAGGAGTGACCCATGTCCGAATCCCACCAACTCAGTCCCAATGGCTAAGAGCTCTTCTTCTCCCTCCCTTGATGAGACTGACCAAGATATATATGTTCCAAATGAAGGAAATCAAAGGCCAATGAATAATGGAGAAAATGCAGGTTTAAGACTTGCTGTTTCATCTTCTGAGCCGTATAGAGCAGATTCATACCTTCCATTCAAGACCCATGGATTTATTAAAGATCAGGGCCAACTTTATGCTGACATGAAAAAAAAAAGGTATGGAATTTACTTGATGACATGTCCAGAATAAGGACTATTTATGATAACATTTTATTTCAAAAGTTGAAGCAGAGTCTGGAGTAATAAATATTATTATTGAGGTAAAATCACTGTTTTACATCACTGATATTTAAATTGTTTTAATGATCTGTTTTCATAAAATAGTTATGAAGACATTTTTAACAAATAAAAGGTGTCCCCTAAGTAAATTAATTTTTAATGCAAATTTATAGTTGTATACCTTTTTTTCTTGTGTGTATTCTTTAAAAAAAAAAAAAAAAGAATCAGCGGTTCACTGTAAGAGTTTCCATGGTGGTGTTTTTGTCAGAACCCTGAATTTCACCCTAGTTTTCCTCAGTTATATTTTGCGTTAAGAAAATAGTCCAAAATCTATTGAACTCCCTAGGAATCTTTCCATTCTTTGCATTGGTCTGTAGAAGAACCAACCAATTGCATATATTTTTTCATCTCAAAAGACACAGTGCAGAGTACAGCTCATGTTTCTGATAGGTTTGGATTGTTTTCCGCTCTTTTGCTGGTACACAAGTTTTGCTGCTAGCAGACCCAGTTGTCTGAGGACCCTCCTCCAGATGGCTTTAGGTTATGCTGAGAACTGATTGTCTTCAGGAATGTAGAGAGCTTTGAAGATGAAACTATAAATTTTGTTTTTAACAATTAGTAAATTTCCTTGATAAAGAGGCTTTATTGCTTCTCTGGATAGAAGAGACATGAAATCAGTTTCTTCTTCTTTAGGAGGAAATTTTTGCCGGGGGGGGTTTAGACTGGATATTAGGAAAACTTTCTTCACTGAAAGGGTTGTCAAGCATTGGAACAGGCTGCCCAGGGGAGCGGTGGAGTCACCATCCCTGGAGGTATTTAAAAGACCTGTAGATGTGGCACTTAGGGACATGGTTTAGTGGTGGGCTTGGCAGTGCTAGGTTAAAGGTTGGACTGGATGATCTTAAAGGTTTTTTCTAACCTAAATAATTCTATGATTCTATGACTAGTTGGAGATAGGGCATCAGATCTGTGTAGAAACAGTAAGGAAGCCGTAGTGTCTGTCCATTGTCAACTGAAGTGGGCGATAACATTTTCTCTACCTTAATTTTGAGTTTCTTATGCAACTGTAAAGTCCCTCTAGGAGGAATGTTTTAACGCAGATGAGACAACAAATGTCAAACTAAGAGTTGTTCTTTCCCAACCTTTTATTTTTGTTAGGTACAGGGATATCATGTAGATTGCTATAAATAATCTGCCTCTCTGTTATAAACATTTTCCTCCTATACATTTTTAGATATTCCCACCTTTTTTAAGACCTAGGTCAGGTACCTATATATGAGCTTTAAGAGCTTATATGAATTTTCAGAGATATAATTGGCCTTAATATATCAACTATAAGTGATCCAAATATTACACATAAAATAAGATTACCAGTATGTAATTCTAGCAGCACCTTCCTTAAAGTATCTGAGGTGATGTGGCAAGTTACTTAGCAGATCTTTAAACTAACTTTTTATGCCAGAAAAATTCCCCAGGCAAGTTACCCCCAGTAAGACATGCATGCTTGTCTATTGACATAGACATGTATTGCTTTTCCAATTTTAAAATGTGACAGTAACTAATCATGCAGTTAAATAACTTGTTTCTGAGATGTCACATGGGCAATTACTAGGAAATATTGCAAAAGATGATCTCCAGAAGGTAATGAGGAAGTAGTTTTGGACAGTATCGATAGATTTGCCCTTTGACAAAGTGAGTTGTAGCGGTGTGTGAAGGAATTGTTCTGCTATTATTCCTGGTAGGAACTCTGGCTATTTAGAAATACCACACATAATTTAAAGTTTTATGTTGTAAGGCTGGAATGTTATTGCAAGCAGTCAACCGTTCCTTCCAGTCACTATGATGAAGAGACCATGAACTTGCTCTTGCAGCTAATGGGACCCACCCTGGGTAACCCTGGTACTGCTGAGAAACCTTACTGCACTCTCCTGCTCAAAACCCCTCACCAATCAAATAGTCTCTAGGTGTTTGAAGTATTGTTTAGCCAAAGATTTTTCAGTCTGTTTATTGTCCTGTATGTTTTTAGGTTTATATCTTTTGAAACAAATCTCATAAACTGTCTCGGACCCTCTTTCATCTCTCTTGTTAGTTTTCCCTTCCATCCTCCATCAAGTCACAGATGTAGAAAAAAAGATGACTGTGAATAGCCACACCATATCTTTCAAATACACTGACAAAATATCCATATATACCTGTATATCTTAATGCTGAAATCTGAGCTAGTTGTCTCAGTTCTCCTTAACATGTATATAGAGAGGCAAGTACATGTGTGGAACAAAACATCTCATTTTAAGGGAGATACTGAACATGGGTCTGAAAATCATCCTCCAGAGGTGGCTGACTGTGGTGGGAGTCTATGATCACGGGCGACGCACACGTCTGTACTACAGATCCACAAGGCTGGGTCAGATGAGTCCTGTACAGAGTGACTGAATACCTTGACCAGGTGACTGCAAACCTGAGAAGGGGCTCAGAGCGTGACTTACCTGACATAATCATGGTGGTTTGGGTTGTCATTGATCATAGTATACAGTAGTATCTTTGCTTGTTGCATTAAGGTTGAGATGGATTGTTACTAGAACTCATGAGAATTAAAGACTTTGTTGTCTGCTTCAGTTCAAGTCTTGATGACCTTGAAGTAGATGGCGGAAGTGGAGGTGTTTCGGACAGATCCCACGTTCACTACCCTCCCCTCGGCTCTTCAGAGGCCATGGCTTGTAGCAGAGATGGATTAGACTTATCTACCAGTCTGCAGCCCGAGGTATTTGATACTATCTTGGTTTGCATTGTTTTCCTTTTAAGTAATTCACTGAAAACATGGGAAACATCTGAATCTGAAAGGGGAAAAATGAGTTCCCAGTTGGCAGTGCTAGTCCCTCTGGAGAGCAGCACACAGAAGGTTGTGGAGCTGGAGCTCCCCGGTTGTGGCTGGGTTTTGCAGCAGCAATGGGAAGGGTCCATCAGAGATTTGCTTCAGCATCATTTATCAGAAGCGTTTCAAAGGAAATATCTCAGGTTCAGTGAATCAGCATTTTCTAACCAAAATATATTTAGTGAGGAAATGTTTAACCAGCTATAGTTATGTGAAAGGGCATCGACTTTGTAAAGTATAAAACCAGCCTGCTGCCTGTTTTAAAAGAATTGCTAGACTCAGTGATATTCAGTTCAGTTCTGTGCATTAGACAGTGCAAATCTCTCTTCTTCTTTAGGGTTTTCTAAAGTATCCCACTATGTTAATTTTCGTTAGACCAGGGTGCCGTTTCTGAGATTTTCAAATGCATACATAGAGGTATTTTCTGTTTGTAGGGATTCTTTGTTTTTGTTAGACAGACTTCTTGCTGTTGTAGAGCTTTATCTGACCTTCAGCAAATGACTGCATGAAGGTAGAAAAAGAGTCCAGCACAAACACTGAATTCTGGTAGGGCTGCTTTTAAAAACAGTGAGATAAGGAGTCTAGGAGTAGGCTCTGTTGAAATGTAAATGATGTATCAAAAATCAGGGAGTTTTCTTTCAAGTCTTATCTTTGACATATTTGGGGATTGGAAAATCTTTTCGTGCACAATAGAAAAAAAAACAAACCACAGAGAGAAAAGAGAAGGAGGCTAACTCCTTTCTTTGGAAACTCTGACATCAATAATTACAGGGGCAGTGTGTTAGTCTACATGAAATATTCTTGAGGCATTAAAGTACTATGATTAATGGCTCCCTTGGTAAAAGAAGATAGCTTGGTCATCGGATACAATGGGCAGCAACACTGTTTGGATGGTGCTTGCCACCAAGCTGGAAAAGAATGTAAGCTTTTTCTTAGTCTCTTAATCTGACTTGCACCCACAAATTATTTGCTGTAATATACAAAAATTTATCATGATGGAAGTACGACAGACTTCCTACGAGGTCAAATGAAGTCGTCAAAAATTGTACTTCAACTTAAAGTTTTAATGAAGCCAAGAAAACGTATGCATGTGGTCAGCCATCTTTCTTTCAGAAATTCTGTCACTGATGTATTTTGTTTCTGTTGCTGATTTCAAAACAAAATTAGTTTTAACTTGCTGCAATTTCTTGTAGGAATGCACAGTGTCTGGAATTCGGTCGCGCTCCTATTCCTGCTCCTCGCCCAAAGGTTTATTAGGAAGACCTCACATTCCTCAAGACTTCACAGTTGGGGATTTGAATGAAGGTCAGTGCTCTGGCTTTGCACCTGCACAGCCCCATCCCATGCCTGCCTGCTTCAGGCCCCATGCTGACCACTTTATTTAGGCCTGTCCAATACGCAGACCTCGCCAGCATGTGTGAAGCAGGGTTCAGGTGCCTTTGGGTACCCCTACCATCATTCCTCGCTCTTCTCCCATCTACTGCCCCGTCATGCCCTCCCCTGATACAGCATATGATCCTTGGGAGCGAACGAAAACTGGGAGAGCGTTAGTCAGAAAAAGTAACGCAGGCAAGGGCAGTAATCTTTTTGAAAGGTCCTTTACCCCAGCCTCCTGCTGAGTACCTGGCAGAGACTGCGAGGAAGCTCAGGAAGACACAGAAGAGGTGTCAGAGAGGGCAGATGGCTGCAGCATCCTGTAGATCCCAGGGAATCTCTGAAACATGGATGGGCTATTGTCATCCCCACAGGCTGGGGGGCAAAACCCACCCTCTCCACCAAGAGGAGTCAGAGATGTTTCTGCAAGAAGCTTGTAATTTTTTACAAATTTTTTCTAACATGCTTTATTTCTAGATACATAGTTTCATATTTGGAAGACAACCCACACTTTTCGCAATGAAGGATATGGGTTATCTACTGTGCTTTTCATATAGATCACATCACTTAAAAACCACTTGCGTTTCAAGAGACTTGGCCTCTGTCCTTATAAATCTGTCCATTGCCATACTTCCAGCTTGGCTGTCCCTCCAGTGCACCTTTAGCTTTACCCTAGTCCTGAGCAAGAGGCAGGACATGTGGGATACAGTGAACCAGATGGGGTGGACACCCGGAGAAGTTCTGGATGCCCCATCACTGGAAGTGCTCAAGCTCAGGTTGGATGGGGTTTTGAGCAACCTGATCTAGTGAAAGATGTCCCTGCCCACGGTAGGGGTGTTGGACTAGGTGATCTTTGAAGGTCCCTTCCAACCCAAACTGTTCTGTGATCTATGACACTGAATGTGAAAACACACACACAAAAGTTGTGAAAATGTTATCATTGACTTTGAAACCAGTTAACAAATTCAAAAGCTCTTGGGAAGGCAAAATGGAAAAAGCTGATGGCCAGACATACAGTGACTGCAGACATCTTTTCTCTTAAGAAACAGTGTTAAGCAGTGCAGCAAATAACTTGTTTATAGTTGCTCAAATTCACTGTTAAGATTTCATGTCCCCTTGTAAGGAGGAGTGTGTATTGCAGCCTGCAGCAATGTTGTATTTTTCCCTATCACTTAATGTATTTGTAACCATTTTTATTTAATAGATTAGGTGAGAAGTCTTTGGCAAAACAAGGCAGAAGAAAAAGAGGGAAGTATGTCACAGAAGTAGAGGATGGCAGATCAGCAAAACCCTGTGGCATGTGCTTAAAGTTAAAACAAAATTCCTTTGACCTCACAGCTAAGGGACTGTTGGTGTCACAGCCTGTTAAGCACCATCCAGACACCATTACCTCCTCTGACCTGACCTGAGCTTGCACCTCTGTCCTGTTCATTCTCTCTCCCCTTCCTCCTGGGACAGTCAGTGCTGGGGTTTTACCCATCTGGTGGAGAAGGTGGAAACACTTTTCTGTCCCAGTTTTGGAAATAGGCTACTCTGCAGCCCACACCGCAGATGTGGTGTTCTGCTAGGAGGGAAGGTGGTGGTCTGCTGAGGTTCCTGCTGGCACTTCCTTGCTTACCAGTGCCTCCTCCCCGTTCCTTCCTTGCCAGTATTTTGCAAGGATGGTAGCATTGAACAGAGTGTTTGGCAGCTGGCAGTGGTGATTACTGTGTGAGGCAGGCACAGCTTTGAGCAGTTGTGTCTGGGTACGGGACCCAAGAGCTTGGTCCAAGAAATTGCATCAGATGGTTCATCCTGATCTCTGCAGGCCATAGTGGGATTGTTTCTGGGTTTGTGCAGGTGTCTGCACACTGAAAACCTGTGCCTTCCCCTCTGCTCAGCTGTCAGCGTTTTGGACATCTCACTCAGGGCTTAGCTATGCAGAAGAAAGGCGCAGCTAACCTTTTATGTTGCAATGACATGTAAGCCAAAGCAGATGAATGCAGGGTGGCAACAAGACGATCTTTCTTGCACAAAGTATGAGAAAAAAGTAGGAAGTCACCATCTGTTTCTGACAGAAGCTTTTCCATATGCTCAGGTTTAAAACAACTACCTGCTTTTATTTGAGAAGGTATTGCCAGTCTGTACAGTAAAGGATTTGTCCCTGCTCTGTAGATGGTGTGCTCATGAACAGTGGTCGATCCCTCCTTCAGGCTCTTTCACTCTCTAAGTCAGTGTCTCTGCTCCACCCTTGTAGTAAGTACCTCAATGCCAACCCCACGGCGCTGTTTTGCATGAGGCTGTCTTCAGCTCCCGTGGGTACATGGCCTTCGTTTCTTCCGAAAGCATCCTGTGGCACAGGTCGTGCCTGGCAACTAACTGAAATGCCCTTTGAGTCTCGCTGCTTCTTTGGTAAATATTCTAGCTCTCACTAACCTGAAGTCTATGTTTGTCTGAAGACATGCTGATTCAGTGAAGGGTGTTTAAGTTTGTATCTAACTTTAAAGAAGGCACAGTCTGATGCTGTGACTGAGGCAGGTGTTTAACTATCTTTCTGAACCATACCTGTGGTAGCTTTGCAAAAAATGTCTGCAGAACAGAATGGCTTCTAATTTGGAAATTGTAGAGTGATCTCTACTGTTGTGTTTTTTTTTTTTTTCCTTCCAAAACAATTCAACTGAATTATTTATATTTTATTTTGTTTTCTAGATGGTTTGTTGAAAAGTATCTCCTTGAGTCCTCTCTATTGTTTCTAGGATGTAAACTTGTAACAAATTACACATCATGTATAGTACATAGACTAGTAATATCCCTCTGTATTGGGATTCAAATTTTTTTTAATACTGTAGATAAAGCTGCATAAGACAGGTAATTGCAAATGTTAGAAGAATGTCATTAAGATATTTTTCAACAAATTATGTAAAAAGCAAAATGAAGTGTGAATCACTCAAGTCTGGGTTGTTAAGAAAAAGAAAAACCCCATTTTTTGTTATTGTTAAAAACAGACTGTTTGCAGAGACTGGCATTCATTGATATCCATCTCAGTTCTGGCAGATTCTGTCAACTAAACAAAGCTTAGTAGGCAATGGTCTTACCCTAGGAAAAGCTGCTTCTAATGTATATATGTTTTTGCTTTCCTAATTTTCAAATGACATCGCAAGCACCTTAATGACAAGCTTATGGCCTGGTGGAGGTCGTGTGTTTCAAATAAACCTGACGAGCTTGCAATCTGAGTGCCCAATAACTGTTTCTGTCTTGCAGAGCGAGCGTACAGTCTGCCGGAGCAGTCCCGAGAGAAAAGGTATGGGTACTTGGCGCACCCGCGTTTTGAGGCGACGGGAGCAGGTCTGTGCAAGAATGCCATCTAGGGAGCAGAGCGGGGAAGAGGCCTCTGCAGCCCTCTCAGCGGGGTTTTCAGCAGTGGTTTAGGGGAGCACTCCCTGCCCAGGCGATCTGTAAGCCCATGCTTAAACCCTGTGTTGAGCTCAGCCTGGCTCTCTCTGTGCTGTCCCTACCTTGCATGTCCTGCAGCAGAGCTTTGCTGTGCACCACTGTGGGACGTGCTTGGTAGGGATGTGCTCCTGTTCACTACAGGAGCTCCTATCCGCTGTAGGAATGTCCAAAGCATTGTAATAAAAGCAAGGGCACTTTTGATACCAGCCATGATCCAGGCAAGCTTGTAACACATTGGACGTTCACAGCACTCCATGAGCTAGTGTTCCTCCTTTTTATAAAGAGTCATTGCAGCCTTTTTAATAATGTCAGCTAAACTCCACAATAAAAGATCTAACTGTAAGTGTTAGGTGAAACAAGCAGCATCCAGATTCTGCTCTGGTTTAAGGGACTGTTCCCACTGGAATGAGATTTTTTGACTGGTCTCTGTTTTAGGATTCAGGAGGAGGAATGGAATAAATATATTGCACCCTCAAAAAATGAGTCTGAAAAATGTAAAGTAAGTCGGACTTTCAGCTTTCTAATGAACAGAATGACCAGCACACGGAATAAGTGCAAGGTAATTTGGGATTTATGTCTATATTATTATATATAATTATGTCACTGTAATTAAATTAATTATAGATGAGAATCTAAATTTTTATGTAAAGATAAGTTGATGTTTATTACAAAACCATATAAGTAATAGCAAGAAACTTTTATCTTTATTTTTTAACTTTAAAACATGTGCAGGGTACCCTGAAATAGCGTTCATATTAAAAAACAGCTTTCCTTTTAAACAATAGCCTTTGCTGAACAATAGCAAGTATTTACTTTGCCATTTTTAAAATGTTATTAACAATCTCATTCAATGATTTAGCTCAGGTTTAAATGTATGAATTGCCCTTAAGAAATAATTTTTTTTCTTACATAAAAATTAAGGGGTATGGGCCTATTCTTGCAATTACTTTCAATAAATGCATGAGTGTAACTTCTACATTGGCACGTAATCCACTGAATTTGCCTTATTTGAAGTTAATGGGACTTCTTGCATGAGTAAGTACTGCTTAGCATTAAGAAGTTGCAGATTTGAGACCTGCACAGTCAAACATATGTACTATGAAAGGTAGATTAGAACATTGGTGGTTTGATTTTGAGACATCTGAAATTTAGATTAATGGCATCAATTAGCAGCTTGAGAGATGGATTTGGCCTACAGGATCTTTCTGGCTGGCCTTCTGGCGATTTTGTAGACTTTCTAGTATGGCCTCCTGTGCTCCAGGATATATGAACGCATGTGGATGTGAGGATGGCTGGCTGAGACGGTATCTTCACAAGTGACAGAACTGGCTGCGAACATGTACGTCCAGTCCAGCAGCCATGCATAAGCCTGTCTCCTAAAGAATGACTATGAGGGCTGCTTGGCAAAATGTATACTCACACCAACAGGAGTACAGTAAAAATAGGCAGAATTTATTAAATTCGTTAACATTCATTAAAAACAGGTTGTATCTAATGTCTTTTAAGATCTGAAGACAAATCATCTAAATTTACATAACTGCGGCTTCAACTGCAGAGGTGCAAGTTTGCATGTATGCTTCAGGGACATGTGGGCATTCATATTAGTTTGTATGTATGTGCGAGTCAATGACAGTTCTAAAATTCTATTTTCTGGCTCTTTCTTTTTTCCAGGTTTATAAATGTATTTCTACCAGTCTTCCTTGATAATGCTTGCTGGCTTAGCTGCCAGTGAAAGCAATGCCTGCATCATTTTAGGACTTCAACAATGTTGTATATAATAATATAGTATACTGTTAAAAGTGTTCCACGAAATAAATGTTTTAGAATAATTTGCTCTAAAAAGGGAATGTTTTAGTGTTTTTAAGATTGAATCAGTTTATCTTCTTTTCTTATGCCCCCCCATTTCCCTGCCTCTGCTGTTTGGATGAAGACAAAAAATAAAGATACCAAAGATAAAGAGAAACTGAACAAGCACAATTTTACAAATGGAACCTTCTCAGGAGTTATCCCATGTATAGCCTGTGAAAAGGCCCTCCTAGGAAAGGAGTCACTGCAGTGCTCCTGTAAGTAGTCACTGGCTTTCGTGTGTGACCTTACAGTGTTCCGAGACCTGCTTTGGGATCCTGGTTCAGTGTTTTGTTTCAAGAAGAAACCTTGCTTAAATTTGGATGTACCCGTTCTGGGTAACAAGCTGAGGTTGGCAAGGCAGTGGGAGGAAGGACAGCAGGTGACAGCTTCAGAAGGGACCACAGCATCTCTTAGCCCCTCCATATTAAGCTAGAGTCTTTCCTAGCCATGGGCTGTAACGTCAAAGCATCTTACGGGCCACTTTAGTAAGTGGATATGGAGGAGGCAAAAAAGTGAAGCCTCAGAGTAACATTTTCTGTGGGCTGGGGACCCTGTTGGGTGGCCAGGCTTTGAGATGTGCCTTCTCTTTCAGATTGCAATGTGATTGTACATAAGAGCTGCAAGGAGTCTGCTCCTGTGTGCACCAAGGTAACTTCCTATACTGCACCATTCTTACTAGAACATACCTGCTTTCCAAGGGGTCTAAGAACATCACGAAGGAAAAAAAGAAAGTACACACAGCCCACCCAGACCCAGTCTGTATGCAAGGAGCTGCAAGGGTGTCAAAATGTCCAATGTGAGCAAGGAGCAAGCACTGCACTTGAACAACAGTTTTTAGAAGAGGGTCAAAAATGAGTGTAAAGAGATATTTGTATTTTTGAAGAGTTGCAAGGTCTGATTGTAAAATGGTGTGGCTGGAGGTATACAGAAAAGGATTAAAAAGAAAGGCTTCTTAAAACCACAGATACCCTTTGTGTATGAAGTGCTATCCCATATGTTTGAAATAATGGAAAGCAGAGATGAAAGGGACTTTGAGAAGCGACCTAGTCCATGTCCTTACCCTCAGACAGGCTGACTTATAGGTAACAATTTGGGCAGATGTTTGTCTGACCTGTTCTGGAAAATCTCTGGAGAAGGAGACTCCACAGCCTGCCTAGACAGTCACTCCCAGTGTTCAGCTGCCACTGCAGACATGGCAAAATCAGCACGAGACCTGATGGATACTGTCTCCTTTTGAACAGGAACACAAGCATGGTGAGGTTATCATGACAAAGTTGCTTTCAAAAATAGATGTGTAAGGCTTCTGCCCTCATGGAACAAAGTGGGACTTGCAGAGAAGTGTGCCACAGCATTACATGTCTTTTTTTCAAATTAGTGGAGTGTGTTTTTCTTACATAGCTGGGTTTTGCATCATGGTGGCTTGCAGGGAGAACATGTTTCCATACAGACTCTTCAGGGTAATCAAGTCTGAAAGTTGGCATGAATCAGGTATTTTAATTTATTTTGGTTATAGCTATTGCATCGTAGCGTTGCACAAATTTCTGAGCAACTTTAGGGCATTAGGACACCTGAACTGGTAGTTCTAATCGCTGGGACTGCTGGGCTATTTGTCAAAAGGAGACAAAAGCCCGTACTACGCCTGACTTCTCTCAAGAAGAATGAGGTGCAGAAAATGTTCACTGACCCACCTCAAGTGAAATACATGACTAAGCATGGGAGGCTTTTGCTACAGGTTTTGCAGAAGTCCACTTTGGAAAGGGGATTGATTCTCCCTCTGATACTCAGGCTTCCTCAGGTAGTGCCCTGCCACAAGCGCTTCAAGCTTATTTGAATATAAAGCCCTGAATGTGAACTCCTTTTCTTTCAGCCTTCACAGGCAATATTGAAATAGAGAAAGCAGAATGCTGTTGTAACTCAGTGAGTCGGTTTTGAATAAACAGATTTGGTTTTGTGTTGTAGTTCAAATAATATTATTCTACTCTGAATATTGTTATCTATCAATAACTAATAAACTTGGATTTATTCGTTGTTGGTAGAAATTAGGACCATCGTTTAGGACCATTTTCTTGAAATCCTTTTGTGTGGTGATATACAGCAGTGAGTTACTGACTTGACTATTCAGTGTGTTATCAGGTATGATTTCATTGCAATTTCAAAAAATTCTTCTTTTTTCAGAAATCCCAGGAGAGATACCATAATAAAAACAAACCCCAAGCTGGTGTAACAAGTAAGTTAGGAGGGGTAAACTTAGCACTTCTAAGTTAAGCCTTGGTTAAAAATCACAGGACTGACAACATGAAGATCACTACATCATTTCGCATTTTAATATCTGAAGAAAGTGTATGTGTGTCTCTAATACAAGTAGGATTTTTTGAAGAAATTGCTGTTAAAATAACTTCTCCTTTACTCAAATGAGTGGGAGTTTTACTACGTTTTATTTTCAGTGAGAAAGAAAATAAAAAATTGTCAGTTTTGTCTTGTGCTTTTGAGTATGTCATTTACCCTACACACAAATATTTGGGTTTCCTGTGTTCAGATTGCAATGCTAGAGTTGTGCATAATTTGAGATTGTTATGTTATCAATAATATCCATGCGCGAGTTATTCCACTTTGCCTACAGGCTTATCTTTATTCTGTGGGAGAGCATCACAGTCTTGTACCACGGCAAACAGGCATTCTTGATACCCAGTATAGGTCTATATGAACACCACACAGCATTTCACAGTATAACTGTGCTGTTGATGACATACTCTACATTGTTTGTCAAAATGTTGTGTTGTGATTTGCCTCACAGATTCCCTGCCTGGAGACATTTCACAGGCAGTGCTCTCCTCAGTGCATCCTTCTTCCTCTGTGCCTATTGGACGCTCTGCTGGAAGGAGGGAAGTCTTGCAACAGTCCCACTTCTTGTCCAAAAGTGTCCCCAGTGCCAGTTTTGAAAGGTAGAGGGCAGCTGCTGGGGGACTATGCCAAATACATCATTCAGATTTCTAGGAAAATTGAAACCATTAAATAAATGTGGGATTTTGTTTTTCTGTTGTAGAAGATCTGCACCATTTTCTGAACAAGACTCTGAGACTAGCACCTGGAGGTCCAAGTCACGTTCTGAAGAAACGTTACAAGCATTAGGGACCTTTTCTTCAATGGATCCTTTAATGATGGAAGGTGAGAAGTATTACACAGATATTGCACTTTATAACCGGTATTGGAAAGTGCAAAATAGAAAAACTCCTCAGTTGATATAGGAAGCCACTTCATCTACTAAAAGAACAGCTATTTTTAATAATTACAATTGTGTCCCTCATTCAAATGATACAATCAGAAACATTATTCTTAAAATACAACTTTTCCTTTCTTCCTTGTCACTAAGTCTTAAATAACTTTTGGAATATTTTTGTATGGTGTTACCATTTTAAAATACCAAGGATAAATGTATTTGGCATCCTTGCAGAACCAGAACAGCAATATATTTTTCTTCTGCAGTCATCTAGTCATCTCCATTGACAGTACACATTGCAAAACATAAATCTATGTCACTTGTATTTCCTCAGTAGCCCCAAAAAGTTACCTCCCACTGGTGAACTGTCCTCCTAAAATGGCTACGTATCCTTGTGAAGCGAATAGAAATAGGCTTTTTCTGTTGGTAGGCATGGTACGTTTCAAAGCTGAAGGGCATTCACGTACGAAGGATGGTGCAGATCTCTCACACTACACATCTACAAAATGGCCAGTGCCTCTCCAACACCAAAGCTACTAAATTTTAAAAAGTTTCTTCAAGCAAAGAAGTATAAGAAGGATTTAATCTGAGAAAAGAAGGGTGGGATTTTTTTGTTCTCCTCCCTTGCTGTCACATTTGCATTTCAACACTCTAGTAATGATATTGACATCTGGCAAGCTTCTCAGATGTAAAGGCACTGCCAATGTTTCAGAAGCCTTGTCTAAAGTTCATCCCTGTGATGTGTTCCCTGTACTACATGGATAGATCTGTATGTGCAAAGGGACTTCCCTTACTGTTCTTATGCTGGTGTTAACGAGATAAACGTTTTGTCGTAGATGATGTGGATTTGTCTCAGTGGACTGATCTCCGCATAGATGCGCAAGAGTTTGAGGCGGAGTCCTGGAGTTGTGTTGTGGATCCAGTGTTCTGTAGCAAGCAAGAAAAGGATACCATCAAGAGGCAGGATGTCATTTTTGGTCAGTATTTCAAAGTTTCATGTAGGTTTATAAACAATTTGGCATAGAAAATAGAGAGGGAACCTACACATTTTATGTCCAGAAGAACGAATGCTTCAACTCAGAACAATAAGAAGGTTCAAAGAACATTTTTGTCACAAATTACAATGTGTCCTGGAGCTAAGGAAATGGAGAGTAGTGGCTACCAGAGACATGTCTACTCTGCTCAGAGAACAGTTGAGGCTGGAAGGGCCCTCATCCAATCCCCAGTGCAAACAATTGCAACCCCAGCTTGTTCAGTGGGGTTCAGTTGAGAAAACCATGCTAGAGACAGATAAATTAAGTCTTCCTACTGACATAATCTATTAGGTTTGAGGCTCACACAGAAAAAAATATTATGACTGTATATTTGAATGTTGCTGAAGTCTATCTTAGAAGGTGTGAAAAATGTTCAGGTGATTATTATACTATGCTGTTTTCTTTTGTACTGCAGAGCTGATGCAAACAGAAGTGCATCACATCCATACCCTGTTAATTATGTCTGAAATATTCAGGAAAGGGATGAAGGAGGAACTGCAGCTGGACCACAGCACAGTGGACAGAATATTCCCCTGCTTAGATGAGCTACTGGAGATGCACAGGCAATTCTTCTGCAGAATGAAGGAGAGACGGCAGGAATCATGTATGGCAGGGAGCGAACGTAATTTTGTCATCAACAGAATTGGAGACATCCTTGTGCAGCAGGTAGAGGCATCAGCTCTGTTAATCCTTTATGTACTCAAGGTTCCCAAATTAAACAATTTATTGACTTTAAAACTTTTGTGGTCAAGAAGGCGGCTGTCGTTGCCTCATAAAATTCAAAGACTGTCCCCTCCACATTATTGCAGGGTGAAAGAGAGAAAGTCATTACTGACAGGTAACTGTGATGAACTTGAATGAACTTCTACCTATATGGTACAAGTGATGAGGAAAGTAATGAACTTGGTCCTGTTCACAGTACTAGGCTGCTGCCATCATACTGTGGACTGCAAAAGATCGAAGTGATGGATTCACTGTTTTAACAGCTGAGTAGAGGTGTGAAGAATTGACAGATGATGGAAACTACTCATTCATTTCACATAGCAATCTGGCATGGTGCATCTTGAATTAATGCTCACTAGAGATGGAGTGGTCTCAACGTGTTTATGGTGGCCATAGAACAGCTAACTAACTGCTTGCTGGTCACACTTCAGTTCCTTGCAATCAGAAGAGTGTGGCTTTTCACCTTTGCTCAGTTGGTTTTAACTCCACTGAAATAAAGAAGCTGAACCATTATCTTGTCTAGAAGCAGTGTGAAAATCAGACAAATGCAGATAAGCCTCAAAGGGATTGTGTTTGCAAAGAGGTGGAGGAAACATTGTTATAATTGTTCTAGCTGTTATTGGCAAGACTGTAGTGGAGGTCGCTTGTGCTCTCTCCAGCTTATTTTCCTCTCCTTGTTCCTAAAAACAGTCCATTTTCATTCTGCAGTGACAGGCCATGTTAGTCAATTCAGACAACTTGAGAAACAAGGTATCATAAAAGTTTCGTATTTGTACAAAATACATTCATTAAAGGCATACAGTTTCCTGTTAGGTGCAATGTTGAGCATAATTCACTTACTAATTTCTTCAGTTTTCAGAGGAAAATGCAACTAAAATGAAGAAAATATACGGAGAGTTTTGCAGCCATCACAAAGAAGCCGTTAATCTCTTCAAAGAGTTGCACCAAAACAAGAAGTTCCAGAATTTTATTAAAGTAAGTTTATGTGGAAACGTGATCACTATTGATAAAATGCTCAGGAAAAAGATATGTAGCTTTCACTTAGATTTAGGATTGAAATTATATTCAGTAACTCACTTTTAATAGCTAATAAAAATGGAAAAGTTTGTGCCTCCTTAACCAGAGAGCTGATAAATTACATTCTTCTTTCAAATTTTAGAAAGCTTTGGCATCCAGTGTGTATTACACACATGTTCCTGTTATAGTACACCTCATCCCTCAGTGCAGCAACTGTTCCTTGGGGATGGTTCAGATAACCCAGTGGGGTTTTTTTTCAGCTTATTCTAATGCATTTAGATATCATATTTCTTACTAGTCAATTGGTGGTTTAATATGCACTTATTACTTAAGGTATATATTTGTATTCGTGCAGCTGAGAAATAGTAACCTGTTGGCACGACGCCGAGAAATCCCTGAATGCATTCTCCTTGTCACCCAGCGAATCACCAAATACCCTGTTCTGGTTGAAAGGATATTGCAATACTCAAAAGGTAAATAAAAGCTAAAGTGTTGCTTCATGTCTGGAATCCTAGTGCGTTTCTAACGTATGTAGTCTTTGTCAAGGCTGGACTGTGAAGATTTCCAATATTTCAAGCCATAGAAGTCCATAGAAGGATGTGAGCTAATTCAGGCATGCATCTGCACCTTTGAAATTAATTCTGATGGAGTTTTTTGTAGGTAGGGCTAGGCAAACATTTTACTCTCCAGTTTTTCAAACAAAGCTTGAATAACCTCTGGAATTTTGTAGAGCATTTTAGAAACACTAGTGACTTTCAAGTGTTGCTCCTCAAATGGGCTATAAATGAGCATTGTAGAAAGTTGTATATCCAAATGCTAACCCTTTGTGCTTGCAATCCTGTTTCAAGGGTTTTTTTTACTGAGCCAGAAGAGTAATATACTATATGATTTACTTAGCCAGTAAATTTTTTAAATGCTAAAAGCTCGTAAATATGTCAGAAACTATTCAACGTGTTGTTTTGACCAATGAATAAATCTGAGGTACATGTCATCTTTTAATAAGCAAGTCAAACAAAGGCAGATGCTTCTAATATTTCTAGTAAATTGATTGCCAGGTTCAACTTAAAATGACATATTTATCAATTTAAGCGTTGCATCATGTTGATTGTTCCCAGAAAGTAAGAAATGATATCTTCTCTTGAATATGCAGACTACTATAATGTTTTTTATTTTTTGTTTCATACAGAAGGAACAGAAGAACATAAAGACCTATGCAAAGCCCTTTGTCTAATTAAGGACATGATTGCAGCAGTAGATTTGAAAGTGAATGAATATGAGCAAAAGCAAAAGCTGCTGGAAATTCTCAGTAGAACTGAAAACAAAACATATACAAAGCTGAAAAATGGCCATGTTTTTAGGAAGCAAGACTTGATGAGGAAAGAAAGAATACTTCTTCATGAAGGTTTAGTGTACTGGAAGACTGCGACTGGTCGTTTCAAAGGTATTCCATCCAAGCAGTAAAGTGTTGTAATTCTTTATTGCAAACAATATATGAAGATTGTTTGGTTTATGAGTGAAAATACTTTATTATGCTGTATTGCAAACATGAATTTCTGAGGTAATGGTATTGGGAATATGCCACTAATTGCTAGAGCAGTAGTTCCGGAAGCTGCCATAGTTTGTGGGTAATCCACTGTATATCTGGGTAAGAAGACAGATTCATAGGCAAAGCTATCAGCTGCATTTCTTCTTCCAGTCCCCCCCTTTTAGTTCATTGATTTGCAGTTTCATCCCATAACACAGAGTGTTGACTTGTACATTTATATTGTTCACAGTACTGGCCATTGAAAATAATGCATGAAAAGTCACGTGCTGTTCTGCAGTGGTACTGGGACATTCACAGTGGAAAAGAAAATCTGAAGCCACATTTGCCTGGAGCCTCATTTTTACATCCAAGCCCAGAATTTCATTTTTGGTGTTAATCAGATGTAGGGGTTGGGTTTTTTGGAGCTTACTAATATTTGCTGTACAACTTTACAAAGCTATCTGTTCTTTATTATTCCAGAAATACTTTTACCAGTGTAATAGTGTGCTGTGAATATATGTTAGCATAGGCAAAACAAAATTTCTGTGGGATAGTCTTTGTCAGGTTGCCTGTGAGTAGCCTGGGGAAGCTCTACTGACATTGGAGTGAGGATTTCTTCTTGCCCTGGGCCAGTGCTCCACCACGGTGCTGCAGGAGGGTAGACAGCAGAAATTGTGGTCTTTCCTGGGAGATACAAAGTGATGGCTTGCAGTTGCTTCATGCAGACCATAGGCTAATCTAGATATTTCCTGTTTAGTTTACTATAGGATTCTGTGGGATATTTATTGATCAGGGCTTCTCCTGAAAAAAATCTCCCTGATTATTTTCCTTTTCTCATTTTAAGACACTTTAGCTCTGCTTCTAGCTGATATGCTACTGTTCTTACAAGAAAAAGACCAAAAATACATCTTTGCAGCTGTTGTAAGTATATTATCAAATGTTTGAACACATTGCGTTTTTATTTGTATATTTCTCAAAAAGTAGTTTCTTTTCTAGGTTATTCCCATAATGTTGTTTGGTTTTTTTCCTAAAATCCTGGTAGTGTATTCAGAACAGTAATATGCCAGTATAAAGAAAATTAAGTTTATTTTCGAAATTAAGTAATTTTTAAAGAAAAAGGATGAAAATAACAATGATATTTTTAGTGTTGTGTTTCATCTGATTATGAAGGTGGGAAGTAGAGCAGGCTCTTTCAGTTATTTAAAAGAAATTTTAAGTTCTGGTTCTGTGAAACAGAACAGAAGAATAATTTGAACTGCAAATGCAGTAGTAAACACACATAAAATGTGTGAAAGGTAATGGAGAGAAGTTCCCAAACTATATAAATATAAACACTATATGAATACTGTGCCTCAGTATCATTGAGCCTCTGAGATTTACTTTTTAGCACATACCCAGTGCTTTACTTGTTCATAAATACTATAATGTATTTTTAAAAATAGTTTAAAAAGATGTCTGAATACTCAAAACTTGCAGCCTCCTACACCTGGTGAGAACATACGTAGTCTGACTATACCAGGACTAGAAGTAGTCCAATTAATTGAAAAATTGTGCTCTTCTAAAATGTTTTATAAGAGAGTTAGTTATTATTTGTATGTGCTGTGACTGTTTCCCCCAGGACCAGAAGCCTTCCATAATCTCCCTTCAGAGGCTCATAGTAAGAGAAGTAGCCAATGAAGAAAGAGGGATGTTTCTGATTAGCGCTTCGTCTACAGGGCCTGAGATGTATGAGGTTCATACCAACTCCAAAGAGGAACGTAACAATTGGATGAGACACATTCAAGATGCAGTGGAAAGGTAGATGGAAAGGCTTTTGGTTTTCATCCTGGTAGTCCAAAGCAGATGGGAGGTTGGTTGGATATTCATGGCAGCATGCTCTCTGTTCTGCATTGCACTGTATCCATCCTGTGAGGTTGGGTTTTCCTCTGAGCTCAGGTTTCACAGACCCCAAAACCTCACCATCACTTCTGCCAAACTTTCCATGCTACTTCTGTTCTCCCACTGAATCAGCAGACCCTTCACACTCCCCATTAGATGTTCTTACCAGCCATTGTAAGCTTCTCTCACCTTTGCCTTTAGCACTGGATGCCTTCCAGAGTCCTGCAGGTGTCCATACAACTATTTTGGGGAAATCCTCAGTCATGCCTGTTATCTTGGTGTCAGCTGCTTAAGAATAGCAGGGAGAGCATTACTCCTCATGAGGCCCAAGCTTATGCTTAGCACAGCAAACCTGTGTGAGGGCCAGCCATCCATTTGCTGCACAATGCAGCCTTACCAGAATTAAAAGGAGTCCTTCAGTCTGGTTTATGTCCAGTTACTGCTTTTTAAAGAAGCGGACAAGTAGCACACTTCTAGATTGTAGCAAAAGTTGGTGCTGATGATGTATTCTGTTTATTATGAACTGTACTGTACTGAAGATGAATATATGATGTGTAGATTTTGCATTGTCCACCATTTTTTGTCTTTCATCTTTGAAGTTGCCCAGAGGAACAAGAAGAAGGAAAAATAAGTGAATCTGATGAGGACAGACGTATTGCTGAGGCAAAAGCATCCAGAATTCAGAAATGCCAAGGTGTGGTACCTCTTCTGCCATTCTGAGAGCTCCTGCATCCTGAGACTTCAGGATGAATGAATCGTGCACCTGTACTGGCTGGTGGGTTCAAAGTGGCTCAATAGGCACAGCAGAGAAAGCTGGGGTGGTCCGATGGTTTAATGTGAGTTTAATGAAAGAGAACCATTTTTTTCCAAACACTATATTTTTGCTACATCACCATGAATGAAAAAGAAAAAGAAAAATGGATGCTTTCAAAATAAACACTGAATTTCCCAGATTAGCATCAGGGCCAGGTAGGTCCACGTTTGTGGAAACACCTGAAATCTTCAGTAATTGTGTGGCTTTGTGCTTGTTAATGGCATTTCATCCTTTGCTGCTATTATTTTTACCTGAAAATGTAGCTGACGGATATTCTGCTTCCTTGGTTCCCCTACACTTAAAGTCCACATCTTTATACTTCTGTGAGGAGAAAAACTCCGGCAATGTCCTTCCTGTAGAGAGCCACAGAGAAAGGCATCCTCTGCTGAGAGTAGGTGTTCTTCTTTGATGTTGAGGTGCTGAATCAGCGCATCTTCTGGCTACCTGAGCCAAGTGCTTTTCTAGTATTGATCGTTGTGAGTGCAACAGGACGCAACTGAGGGCCCCAGAGCACAGCCAAGGCCACCTCGTCAGGGTAGGGCACCGTCCTGGCCCTCTGCCTGGGTCTGTGCCAGCTTTCATTAGGACAGACTATGGGATGAATCTGGTTCTTGGTCACTTAAAAAAGGCCTAGCTCAAGTTAGCAATGTCTATGTGGTGTAAGGATTAGAAAGATGAATGGGGAACATGCTTTGCCTGCAGGATAAAAAATATTAATACAATGTTCAATTTTGGTTGCCAGAATCACTGAGTAACCAGGACCAGCAGATCTGTAGTTATTTGGAAGAGAAATTGCATATCTATGCAGAACTGGGAGATATGCATGGGTTTGAGGATGTTCATGTGGAACCTCACCTCCTTATCAAACCTGATTCTGGAGAAACTCCACAGGCTGCTTCATTGCTGGCAGCAGCTCTCCGAGAAGGTGAGTTTCCATTGGAAGAGTGGGCTGGTGGCTCTTTGCGTGGGCAGGTAATTCAAGGTAACAAAGTACAGCCTTCTTGCCTTGTGCTGCAGTTCTGTCAAGTCTCCAGAACTGGCAATGTCTGAACTTGGCAAAGGGCATTGAGAAGTCTCTCAAGTTTATACTTGTCAGATGCACGAGATGGTACCTGCCAGATTGTAAGATAAGGGATATGTTTAGTGCATAACATCATAGGTAAGCAGGCAGGGACATGGTGTTAGATTGCACCTGAGGATTGTTTCCTTAGCTGTCCTCCTTGCAGTACAGCCCTGTGAAGAGATCACAGGATGCAGTATGATATTGCATCTGGTCCCTTACCTTGGTTTATCTGATGACAGATCAGAATCATGTAGGGTCATGTACAGACCAAACTACAGATGATCTTGGCAGATCTGCCAAGAAACACCTGCCAGAATTGCTGTAGGACCTGTGTTTTTTCTGCATTACTATCTAACAGAGAGATGATAGCCTTGTGCTACCTACAGTGCTGTCCTCTGAAGGAAGGAAGGGAATGGCATTGTGGATATCTTGCCTAGTTGGAAGCTCAGCTAAACTCCTGCTAAACTCAGCTGAAAAGAGTCCTGGTAAACTGAACCATATCCAGCATGAGCCATATGCTCTTTGAGAAGGACTACAAGATTTTAGCATCACCTAGATTGAGAGGTCTGGGTTAATAACCACATTTCAACCAATAAAGCAGTGAAGGTTGGTCTCCATCATCATTATGAAGTCAGAGCGCATTTTATTGATAAAACTGATAGAACTTGAGTAGGGAATCTAAGTCAGTGATGCAATAGTAAATGTAATTTTAGGTAAAATGGCAGCCTATACTTACACATCTTATTCTGCCCACTTTCAATTTTCACTTTCTGTCATGCTAATGTTGATGATGTCTTGGATTTCAGCACTCTTTAGCACACTGTAAGGAATTTACAGTTGCTTACACTGTAGGCAATTTGTGGGGATCATTTTCCAGAACAGAAATACAAAGTCCCTGAGCTAACAGCAGCCTCTATAGGAATAAAGCATGAGAGTAGTTCAGCAGTAGAGCAGGATAGAATTAGGGAGAGCTTAAGCAAATTGGATGTACACAAATCCATGAGATGAGGCAGGAAAAATCCAAGGCTGCTCAGGGAGCTGGCCAATGTCATTGTGAGTCTGCTTTCTATCATCTTTGAAAGGTCACAGTGATCAGGAGAGGTTCCTGATGACTTGAAGAAGGCAAGCATCACATCCCTCTTCAAGAAGGAATGTATAGGGAATTACAAAATAGTCAGCCTCACCACTGTCTCTGAGATGGTGATAGAGTAAATCCTCCTGGAGTCATTTCCAAGAACATGAAGGACAACAAGGTGACTGGGAACAGCCAGCATGGATTCATCAAGGGCAAATTGTGTCTGACTAACCTGATGGGTTTTATGATGATAGGAGAGCAGTGTGTGTTGTTTACCTTGACATCTGCAAGGTCTCCAACACTGTCTGCACTGACTGTAGTATCCTTACAACTGAATTGGTGAGATATGGACTGCATAACTGGGTGGAAAATTGGCTGAACTGCTGGGCTGAAAGAATTGTAATCAGTGATCCAATGTCCGTCTGGCAATGTGTTATTAGGGGATTCCCTTAGGGATGGATCTTGAGATCAATACTTTTCAACATATTTATTAATGAATTTAACCAAGGGATGGCAAATACATGGTTGTCACCAAATGAGGTGGGGTGATCAATGTGCTGGAGACACCTCTACAGATTGGGACAATGGGCTAAAAGGAAGCCCTGGAAGTTTGACAAAGACAAATGCAAAGTCCTGCAGCTGGGATGGCGTAATCCCATGTGTTGGTGCAGGCTGAACACTGACTAGGTAGAAAATAGCTTTGAAGAAGTGGACCTAGGAGTCCTGCTTGACAGCAGGTTGACCATGAGGCAGCAATGTGCCCTTGTGGCAAAGAAGGCCAACTGTCTCCAAGGCTGCTGCATTAGGAGGAGAGTTGCCAGTAGGTTGAGGGAGGTGATCCTTACTCCACTCACACCTGGTCTGGAGTACCATGACCAGTGCTGGGCTCCCCTGGACAGGAGAGACATTGACAAACTGGAGCAAATGCAGCGAATAGCACCAAGATGATGAAGGGACTGGACCACGTGATGTCAGAGGAGAGGCTGAGATAGCTGGTGTCGTGGTTTAACCCCAGCCAGTAACTAAGCACCAGGCAGCTGCTTGCTCACCCCTCTCCCTCAAGGGGATAAGGAGGGGAAAGGAAAAAAACTCATGGGTGGAGATAAAGACAAAGGAAGATAATAACAATAATAATAACAGTAATAATAATAATAATAATAGCAGTAATAAGAATAACAACAATAATAAAAAATAAAAACAAGTGATGCACAAATGCAATTGCTCATCACATGTGGGAGGAAAAAATACAAAACCCGATGCTCAGTCTGTTTCCAAGCAGCAATCCTGCCTCCCGGCTAGCTTCCCCAGTTTTATCCAGAGCATATGGCTATATGGTATGGAATATCCCTTTGGGCAGTCTGGATCAGCTGTCCTGGCTGTGTTCTCCCAGCTTCTTGTGCACCTGGCAGGGAGTGAGAAGCTGAAAAGTCTTTGCCTTAGTGTAGACACTACAACTACCTAGCAATAACTAAAACCATTAGTGTGTTATCAACATTATTCTCATACTAAATCCAAAACACAGCACTATACTGGCTACTAGAAAGAAAATTAACTCTATCCCAGCTGAAACCAGAACAGTTGGTCTGTTTAGCCCTGAAAGAACAAGGCTTGGTGGGATATCATTGCTGTCCTTAGGTACCTAACAGGATACAGAGAAGCCAGATTTTTTGTGGACACATGTGGTGAGAGGCAACACGTGCAAGGTGGAAAATGGGCAATTCCAATTTAAGTGAACAGAAAAATCGTATACCATGAGGGTGGTCAAAAACCAGAACAGGTTGCCCAGAGAGGCTGTGAAGTCTCCATCTCTGGAGATGTTAAAAACTTGTCCATTCAAAGCTCTGAGCAACCCAATTTAGTTTGACCAACTTTGAGCAGAGTGTTGGACTAGATGACCTCTAAAAGTGCCTTCCAACTAAATTACTCTATGTCATTGATTTATGCATTAAGGAGCTGGTTTAAGGGGTGTTTGTAATTCTGCATGTTTTCATCTCTAGTTGAAAGTCTCCATGTTGCTGTAACGACATCACAAGTGAGTGAAACAGACAAATCAGAGGAAATTACTGAAGAATTAAGTGTGAAGCACAGATTTGGTGCCAATGAAATCTTGGAATCTGTTCCTGGTGGTGAGTAAAATTTGATGCTTTTACATATTTGGAGTGATAAAATAATTGATACTGGATTGTGGGTTTTGTTTTTTGGTTTTTTTTTTTTTTTTTTGAAAGCTTTCTCAGTCTATGGCAGAATCAATAGAAAATAATGTAATAAAAGTTGTCTTTAGGCAAATGCTCAGATAGTGTAAATTGTCGTATAACTTCATTGAAGTAAATGGATGGTTTGCATCCATTGCACCTTTTCCATAGCACGTGCCTGCATTCAGCAATATTGAGTCAGATTTGTGTATCTCCATACGCTTTCTTGTCATTGTTGCTCAGCTCCACAGCAAATCTGTATTGCATTATAGGCCATTTCCCAAGTCAGCGGATTTTTGTCAAAAGGCCTGAAAAACAGGATTGACATTTCAATAATTTCAGCTATAAAAGGTATACCATGGATTTCTTGCAATAAAAATGTAAATGAAGTCCTGGAAAAAACATCGCTATGGAGCATTTTTAGTGATATGGCTGTACTTGCTCCAAACTTTCATAAGTGAAGCACTACTAATTTTTAAGGTAGGAAAACTGGATTGTCCCACCTGTGCCATCCAGGGTTCCAAATTTGTTTTTACCCAGCCTAGAATCCATTATGTAACTCCAAATTACGTAAAACTCTTATTTTCAGCATCATGCAAGTAGCTGTGAAAAAGTGTGCCCTTTGTTTCTCTACTCAGAATATATTTTGGTACCTTTCTCTTGCATTTTATGGGGGCTTTATTTGTTAGATGCAGAAATAAAAGAAGTTGAAGAATCATCTGAAGTCGATCTCAGTGTTGAAAAAGAAATGGCAGGTGCCAATCTAGAGGATAAGGTATTGTAACTGATTTTTCTTCTTGTGTTGCACATAGCATTCTGGGTACTGGGAACGTAAATGCTGTCCAATTTTTTGTAGGGTTTCTAAAAACTATTCCAAAACGCAAAGCATGGGATAGGCACATTTCACCCAAATCCAGATAATTCAATTTAATAGTGGTCACTGCAATTAATAATGAATTTTTAAAAAGCAAGCATAAACAATCCAAACGGAGAACAATTTTCCTGCCAGGCTTACAGATCAGTGGGTTGTAATAACAGCCACAATGTTTTTGTACCACTTGTACGGGCCAGTTAAGAGCCTGGTTCTCTGCTGTCATGATTCAGTACATCCATCTCTATGGAGCTGACAATAGTATTTCCTCTACTCCCTCCCCCTGTTCACAGGATGATGAAAGTCTCCTGCAATGACAGAGACCTCCACTAATGCAAGTAAGACTTAATTGGAAGAACTTCATCCTGAGAACAAGAACATAAAATAGGATGGCTTGTCTTACACCAGCTTGCTTCAGAATTTTGAATTAAAACAAAATGGAACAATTAAAGAATAGAAGAGAAACTGCCCATTTTTCCGAGTTATATAATTTATAAGCAAATCTGGGGAAAAAGCAGAATCATAAGTCAGTTCTGGGCAAAATTAGGATTGGCAAATTTCATGTAGCAGCAGAGTGTTAGAGTAAGAACAGTATGAATTACTCTGTGGAAATAAACTGAAGTGTAATTGTGGAGTCCTTAGGTGGAGAAGCAGGACCACAAAAGCAATAAAGAGGAGAGACAATAACAGAAGACACATGACTTGAAATGGAAAGCAAAGTTTGCTAGAAGAAGAGATACTTAGCATTAGCATGCTATCTTTGCATCAGATCTAAAAGAGGGCTTGTGTGCCTGATACTTTGGAGGAGGGGTTCTGGCTGTTTCTGGAAGACTCTTGCTAATACACTAATCTCCCTATAACCCTGCCTTGTTCAGCTGTAGGTCATTTTACTTACCACACTGCTGTGTTAGAAGGCAGTAGGAAGAAGAGTGTGTGTGGAAAAAATGGGATGAGAGAGCGCAGAAGCTCGGTGAGGGGAAATAAAATAACCTAGCAGAGGATAGAGGGGCTCAGATCTAGCCCATTAAAGGTTCCAGTAGCTCCACATGAAAGCATTGCCATTGGGATTATAGAGAAAACAGAGCCAGGCTTTTCTCAGAGATGTACAGCAAAATGATCAGCATCCAAGATTACAAGTTGCAACAAGGGAAATTCTAACTGTATATGAGGGAGAAAAGTCACTGCAAGGGTGATCAAGCAGGAACAAGTTGTCCAGAGGGGTTGTGGGGTCTCCATTCTTGGAGGTTTCCTGGATTTGACAGGAGAAGGACCTGAGCAAACTCATCTAACTTTGAAGCTAGCCCTGCTTTGAGCTGCAGCTGGACTAGAGGGATCTGCAGCAAACTCTTCCACTCTAATTTACTATTCTGATCGGGCCTATTATTTGGGCAAGACTCATGTCACATTGTACCATGTCAGAATCAGACTTAACCAGGAGGTGGCAGAATGAGCAAACAAAAGAGGCAAAGAAAGGGCTTTCAGGGGCAGAGGGTGTTCTTCTGCCTGCCTGCCTTCAGTCACTGGGTGTGCAGTTCCTAGGGTTGTGTGGTGGCAGAACTGGGCCGAGACCAGCTAGCCTAGGAAACCAAGAGCTGGAAAGATGGAATGAAAGTCCCCAGCTCAGCAGCTAAATGCTGACCAAGTGTCAGATGGAAGATCATTGCTTGTGCAACACATGGGGTCCCAAGCAGGCAGCAGTGGGAGGTGGTTTCCATCTTGTTCCCCATGCTTCTGCCTTGTAATCACATCTCTGGGGGGGTTGTCTGAGGCATTGTGCACGCAGCCTGCCCTGGGATGCAACCATCCTCACCTCCACTGCTGCTCATCGCTCTGAACCAAGGTGCTAGGGAAGAGTGGCAGGGAGGTGACAGTGACCCTCAGCACAAGTAAAACATCTGAATATATTGCTTCAGACCAAGCTGGACTTAGAGGGCTTGTGCTGAAGCTCTAGCGGTGCAGCTGCAATGCTGTTGTCACCCTGGCTAGCTTGACTAAACCTGCCTTGGGCTCATCCCCCAGCGCTCAAGTGATGCTGCACTGAGGAGACCACAGGCACTTGGGCTGGCCACTTGCTACCCCTTAGCCATGCCAAAGCCAGCTAAACCTTCAATCCCACTGTGCACTTTATTAAATGAAAAAGGGCTTCAAGAACTGAAAGAAACCCCACTCTTGTTCAGCGTGTGGGCTCTCCTTTGTACACTCACTCTTCCTCACCCTGCCAGCATCTCCTTCTCCTCTCTCTCCCTCTTGGCCCTGCTCTTCCTCCTTGCCCACTGCTCATCTTGGCCACCCAGCAAAGGGTAAATGGAGCTCCCCTGTGTCAGTCCTTGTGCTGCACAGAGGCACCTGTGCAAAGTCCTCTGTTTCTCACAGCAGAGTCGAGCAGTTATGTGGCTCATGGATGTGGTGAGAAAAGGAGGAGGAAGTGAAGATGTGGGGAGGGAATGGAGGGAAATACTGAAGGGAGGTAATGAGAGAGGAGTGGAGGAAATGCTGCAGCTGGTGCTCCCTTTACCCTTAGGCTGTCTGCATTGAGCTGTGTTTTGGGGCCTGGCCTTTTTCATCTTCATTTTCAGTGATCACAGCTAAATGGAGCAGCTGCTTTGCTCTCTCCGGTGGAAAATGAGACTCAGCAGAGAACTTAAGAGATTCAAGAGAGAGACTAAATATTCCCCAAATCCTGCTCTGCTCCTCTGAAAAAAAAAAAAAAAAAAAGGAAAAAATCATACAGGAAGTCTTTTCAGTGTAGCCTCAGAAGAGATTGTGTTTTATTCCTCCACTGTTTCACCTTATCTTTCTCAGAGGAGCCGTTCTTCATGCTGAAGGGATTATGGGTGGCTTCACCCCATAAATTTAGAAAGCTTCTTAGGAAAAGGGAGCAGGGTGGAAAGTGTGAAGTGGCTGAGCCTCGCTGCAGTGGACAAGAGCAACCACGCTGGTGGGTTTTGCAGAGTATAGCAGGCACGCAGCCTTTGCTCCATGCCTCACAGCACATCTAAGGCATTCACCGTAACCCACTAACGTGACTTCTGCTAGCTTCTTGCTACATTAATATCTCTGTTTTTGAAGAGTCTTGCACTGTTTCACCCTCCTATAAGTAATCTAAACTCACTGTGCTGTATATACAGAAGTCTGGTTACTGTATTTCAAAACTGTCAAGTAAACAAAGAATGAATGGAAATGTCTTTTCTGTGTAGCATTAGTCACAAGAGGATTAAAATTGTGGATGAAATATTCTTGTTTTTACAGTTGTGCTTAGATCCTCTAGTGATTTCCACGGAAACTCCAGTGTTGATGAATTATTAGTCTCTGTAGGTTTTTGCTTCTGTGTTTTTTCACATACCCACAAAAAGGTTTGACTCAGCACTGCATATATTAGTGATATGAATGTCTCCACTAGTTAAAAAAAATAAATTACCTAGATGATACAATTCTAAAGTTAAAAACTACTTTTTAAAGCAACTTGTGTTTATTTTAGGGAGGAAGTATGAGTTTCCCAGAATCTACAGGGACAGAGGTGAGTTTATTTAAACCCCAGACAGAATGTAGTAACTATTTAGTTAACAGTGGTCAAACCTTTGAAAAAATCCTTCTCTTTTGTTTTCTAGATTGTACAAGCAATCCAGAACTTAACCCGTCTTTTGTACAGCATACAGGTGACTACTCCACTGCTAACTTCGTAATTAGTCTTAGTAATTTACTTCTTAAGGCTTGTTTTCATCTCGCCCTACTTTTAGACATTATGTCAGTGGATACTTATCTCTACCAACTCTTGCATAAGTTGTCATACAATGTATTTTTATTCTACATATGTTGTAGGTTTCTTTTAAGAAGTGAATAATGCTTGCTTGCTTGGAGATCCCAAAAGGATGTGTGTACAGTCCAAAAATCTAGGGGGAAAGTAAAATGATGGTTCTAACTGAACTGATATAATTTCATGTACAGATTTCTGAAATTATAGTTCAAAATATTGAAAAGGTTTAGTATTTTGTTTAGAATATTCTCCTGGCTACTAGTAAACAGTGCCTCTGCCACTTAGGTAGCAAACTCAACTAATTTTAGATATTTCAATCTCAATTCATTGTGTATATTCTGTAGGGCCTTAGTCTGAAGTTTTTTCCTTTTTCTGGCTAAGTTTGAAGGTTTTAACTTATTTTTTCTTATTTAGGTCCAGTTTCATAGATCTATTTTAAAATGTTTCATTTGAGTATTTTTCATTTTTAGACTTTGACATTAGCATATTTCATAATAATACTGAAAATATTGGTCTTAGAAGTTAAGTGGATTGAAGCAATGCAAAAGCAAAATAAAAAGCTTGTAATTCAGGCAAAATTTTTGAAAAATTGAAAAACAGATAGCTTAACACCAGAGGGTCAGTAAAGTAAGGTTTGGGATCATGCCTTAATCGTTCAGACTGTGAATTGGCAGTATAGGTGCAGAGAAACAAGCAGAGGATCCTGTCCTTGCCCTGTTTACAAATCACTGGAACTGACCCAACAAGACTGGAAGAAGAGCCAAGAAAAGTGGGAATTGCATATTGCATAAAGTTAAAAACTCTTTCTGGGGTGGACGGCATGGGATAATGGGGCTGTGGGAATTCTCTGGGAATGTCTGCTGCAGTAGATTCCCATGTCAGCTCTTGAAGATAGGCTGTGCAATAAGTGCCACAGCAGATCTAGGGCTTCCTTGCTTTTCTTTCTTCTTAATCCCAGCTACTTATTTTTGTGCTATTGGAGGATGTCACAATCTTTAATGCAAACAATAGCACAACATCCTTGTGAAGGACCGAATATAGTGCTTTTGGTTGTAAAATAAACTATTGAAACATCAAACCCAAAATCATTACTGTATTGCAGATTTCTGCCAGCACAGGTGAATGTAGCAGTACGGTCCTGATGACATGGCTATGTTTGCAGGTGCCTGTAGGACTGCGCTGTCGCAAGTTAGCAAGGAGAGCCTTAAGGTTGGAGTGAGCTGTACTGGACACAGTACAGTTTTATCTGCATAAGCTACATCTGTGTTAGGAATACTTTATTCAGTGTAGCGTTCCCAGTGCCTTAATGCCTTCTTTAACCATGAAAAATCATTTTTCCTATGTGTCTTAACATCCTCTGACAGAACAGGACGCCAGCTGTAACTGAAGTGCATATGCACAGCTTTAACATAAACATATATAATACTACTGAGTGTAAACCAGAAGCTGTGTTAAAAGTGCTTGAAATGGTTGAGTGCTTTTAGGAACATCTCTTGGTAAAAGCATGAATACAGTATTTTCTCTACTTGCATGAGGAATAACCTCCCAAAAAGCATTAAGTGCTGATATTACAGGAGATTGAAGCATTTTTATATAATGCTTCTATGTAAAAATACAGAACTGGATTAATGCTAATATTTAAACATTTGTGTCTGATTTTGTTGTGGTGTCTAGGCAGCACTAGCTATCCAGGACAGCCACAGAGAGCTCCATAGGTTAATCCTGCAAGAGAATGAGAAGACTGGTCGGGGCCACGGTTCTCGGCTAAACCTCCTTCCGGAACAAGAAAAATACCGGAATCTGGAAAAACAAAGGGTGGAGGTGGCCAACATACACAAATTGAAGCAGCAGTTTCAGCAAGAGCAGCAGCGATGGCTGCGTGAATGCGAGCAGCGGCAGCGGGAGCAGGAGGCGAGGGAAGGCCGGCTGGGGCAGCGGGAGAGGGAGTGTGGGTGCCAGGAGGAGCTGCTGGAGAGGAGCCGACAGGGACTGGCATTGCAGCTACAGGAGTACCAGCAGAGCCTGGAGAGGCTCCAGGAGGGCCAGAAGATGGTGGAGAGAGAAAGAGAGAGCGTGAAAATGCAGAAGAAGCTCCTCTGGCACTGGAAGCACGGTCAAAAAAATAGCCTGGTGTCATCCACAGGGAGCTACAAGGTGTGTGGTTCCCTGTGATAATTATATCCCCAAGTGCAGACCTGGAGAGACTTTCCTTGATGAATAGACTCATACATCTGGGTTTTGTTCGTCGGTAACATAACGAGTCCTATTACTGTTTAGTATCTTTATCAATGATCTGGACAAAGGGATCGAGTGCACTCTCAGTAAGCTTGCAGGCAACACCCAGTTGGGCAGGCCAGTTGGGCTGAGAACAATTGTGTGGGGTCAACAAGGCTGAGTGCCAGGTCCTGCACTTGGGTCACAACAACCCCATGCAGCACAAAAGCCTTGGGGAACAATGGCTAGAAAGCTGCCCAGTGGAAAAGGACCTGGGGGTGTTGGTCAACAGCTGGCTGAACATGTGCCAGCAGTGTGCCCAGGTGGCCAAGAAGGCCAATGGCATCCTGGCTTATATCAGAAATAGTGTGGCCAGCAGGACCAGGGAAGTGATCGTCCCCCTGCACTCAGCACTGGTGAGGCCGCACCTTGAGTCCTGTGTTCAGTTTTGAGCCTCTCACTACCAGAAAGATATTGAGGTGCTGGAGCGCGTCCAGAGAAGGGCAATGGAGCTGGTGAAGGGCCTAGAGCACAAGTCGTATGAGGAGCGGCTGAGGGAACTGGGGTTGTTTAGCCTGGAGAAAAGGAGGCTGAGGGGAGACCTTATTGCTCTCTACAGCTGCCTGACAGGAGGTTGTAGCCAGGTGGGTGTCCTGCTCCCCTGAAACAAGCAGCCCCTTAGGGGAAGAGGTTGGTGTGTGGCTCCATCCCTGACAGTATAATTCCTTGGAGATGGAGATGGTCATTATTAGGGGATGCAGCTTAAAGTAGCTCTGAATCTGCTTAAGCATTTAATACTAAAAATAATTAAGTTTTTGTTGAGGGTCAAAGGTGGAGGCTGACTCTGAACTCAGTGGTGTGAGTGCTCACCTGCTAGGTGGGGCCTGGCCTCTAGTCCCTGCCTCAGTGGGTACTGTCTTGATTTCCATTACTGTTTCTAAAGCACCTGAAAATCAAAACATTTTGCCTGGCTTTTGCATATATTGAAAGCTCACTGACCCAAACAGTCTTTTTTTCCCCTCAGGTTTTCGTTTTCACAAGAAAATCTGTAGAGCCTTTCTTCAGGCCATCACCTCCCTAGTTTTTCAGCTGGCAACTGACCCATAATGAGCAGTAACCATTTGGCGCCTCAGCCTGTGCCTGCATGAGGGGGTGAAGGATTGGCCTCTGATCTCCCCCTTTTCATCTGTTTTTTGTGAACACTGTGTGAATGTGACTTACCCATATATGCTTGCCCACCCAAACAACGAAGGCACTTCTTACTAGTATAACTTGTGGTACAATTTTGACTTGCTTGGCAGTGCTCAATTAGTGGATGGTAAAATCAAAACTGAAGTTGCCCATCAGCTTTAATGGATGGGACTTCTGAAATCTTTTGAGGAGAAGAAGTTGAAGGACAATAGCCTGATGCAGGAATGGCCAGGATTGCACAGACCAAGAGGCAAAATAATGAAATGCTGAGTGTCAAAGAGCAGTAGTTCTTAATCTAATACTTCATGTGTAAGACTACCTGTATTTCTATTTCAGGTAAACTACATGGCTTTGGATGCATTCCAGGCCTTAGGATTGTCTTTGTCCTGCATTTTCCACTACTATACTCCTCGTAGCAGCAGGGCTGGCTGAGTGGTTGCCAATATTCCCAACCCAGTGTTTTTGACATAACACCGAACCTAGCTAGTTTTGGGTGGTCAAACATTGCAATAAGTCACACTACTGGTCCTGCTTTTTTGTGAACTCGGCCTTGATAAACACCTATGGGCAGGGAGTCTTTGCAGGAGTTGCATTTTCAGCTCCTGGGAGCCATGGCTGCTTGCTGAATGCTGTTTGCCATCCCCAGTTTGACTGCTGTAGTCCTGTGTCTATGATTACCTGTCTACGTGAGGTACAGTGTTATTTTTGGATTGCAGTGTACACAGATTTACATATGTGAAGTGGTACCTCATTGAACCATAGGGCAAAATATTAACATCCTGAAAGGAGTCAGCAGAGCTCAGTGCATCCCAGGTAGTGGCCCTTTGTTATTTGCTATTTTGCAATTATTGCTGAGTTTTCCTGTGTTTTGAGGGGAACTAAGGCAAAACATACTAGGCTATTTTTGTTTATTCCTGAACACATATCCAATTTAACATGTTTTGTGGTTAACTTCTGGGAAATCAGGTGACTATTTGATATGAATCTCCATTCTGTCTGGCAGTTAATTTTATGTGTCCTTGTATAAGGATTCTTCAGGATGATGCTCGTAGTCATATGGCTTAGTTTTAGGTAGTCCTGCAAGGAGCAGGGAGTTGGACTTGATGATCCTTATGGGTCCCTTCCAACTCAAGATATTCTGTGATTTTATGGTTCTGGTGCTGGGCAAAGGTGAAAATGCTGTTCTCTGGTTTTTTTCCCCCCTTCTGCAGATAATGGGACATAATGAATCGAACAGCTTACATCGTGAAAATACATTCTACTTAAATGAAGCTGTAGTGTGTTTGTCTCTAAGCAGCCTTAACAGATCAGATTCTTCTCTCGTTTATGAGGATGGTGTGTATGGGATGAACATCTCAAATTCTGATATAGCAAGGACTAGTGAAAATCAGATGGACCTCAAAATGGACACTTCTTGTCAGCCAGCGTTAACCAGTACACTGTGGAAATCCACTGGTCCTTACCAGCAGATGTCTTTTTCCTGCAAAAGCAACAAGGATGCCTTTAATAATGGTAATTAATGCTTTATTTAATTCACAAATAATATGGGCAGTTTGCCACCTCTCAAAATTAATAGTCCTAGGAACAAAGACAGCTTGGTAGTGGTAGAAGCAATAGATTTTGCTAAAACAATTGCATGCCACTTTGCAAGCTTGTTGAGGGTAGGTGAGAAAATAAGCAGAACAGAAACACAGAAAACTTTTGAAAAGAAAACACACACACACTGTTTGTGTCTGCATAACAGTACTCAGAGTGTTGTTCTCTCCAAATCCTTTTTTTGTGATCTGAAGTCACTCTTGCTGTTTCAAGTGTGTTTTATTGGCTGTTTTAGAACATATATGCATTACTTGATGATTTCTAGTTAGAATAGCTTTTGATTTACCATCTTAAAATGATAATCAGTGGTCAAACACCCTCTTCTTTCTTCATTGAGAATGAAATGAAAATATCTTGAAAGACTCTGTAGTTGTGGAAAGAAAATTACGTCACTTCTAAGTGATAATATAATCTTTGACAATAAGTTTCTATGTTAGTAAAAATACCTCTTACTGCATTACCTTCCTTTATTCTTGTATTTTACCAGAACCCCCAAAGATATATAGATCGCATGGTAGTTATTGATGGTGGTTACCAAAATGAGTGAAAGAAGCCACCTATCTGAGTGTTGCACTGAAAATTCCCTGAAGTACTTAAAAACCTGCTAATGGGAAACTCTAAACTATCTGGGTTTTTTTTTCTCGTGTTGCACAACGCTAGTTTTGATCTGACATGGTGTCCTTATTCTTTCATTATGGTGAGAGTTGTACAGCAGCATGTAAAAAACCAAAGTCTATAGGGGACAACGGTGCACTTTTGGTGTAATACATTAAGTAACCTGGTGGCTTTTCCTCCATGGTTTCCCCCACTGCAGCAGAGCCCAAGCTCCTATATTTCTGTAGCTGGCAGTGCAGGATGACTTCTGTCCTCACACCAGCTGCATGCAAGTCAAGTCACAGCAAAGACCAGTGGGCAGCAGGATCAGAAGTTGAAAACATACAGAAGTACAGTGGGTTTTAATTCTCTTAGGTCAAATCTTGGAGTTGTTCAAATAAAAAAAGTCCTTGATTAGGGAACTTGCTCCTTAGTACTCCTTGTAATGTATCAAGCAGACATCCACTACAGACTCACTAGTCCTTGCCAAAATAGCATTTTATAATCAAAGGTAGGGCAGGCTAGTCTCATCACCGCAATCAGCAAACCAAGCTGATTAGTAAAAGAGATTAATATTTCTAAAAATGCCTAAATAATTAGCCTGGTGAAACTTGTTCTAGTTTGACTGAAGTTGTCATTTTAGTAATAGGTTAGCTAAGCTAGTGCAAATTTGAAAAGAAAAACATATGTGGGTTCAGACCTCTCAAAAGTGGATTAGCTTGCACTGGCAAACATTCATATGCAAGCTAACCAGGATACTTTCTATTGAGCCCACATGAGAGTGTCTGGTTTAATTAAACTGGCTTGTACCCGTTTAATTGCACTGATTCTAAGATAAGCTGGTGGAGCTTCTGTATGTAAAGATGCCCTTCACTTACAATGGGCCAGCTTTGTGTTCAGCTGCTGTCACTGCATCTTGTGTAGACATTCTTACCTTTCCTTGGTAACAAGGCACCAGTGCAGTCCCAGCAGCTGGGTCCAGCACTGCCTACAAAGCCAGTTCAAGAGGTAGAGTGACAGGTAGTGTAAGTCTCTCTGTCTAAGTCATGTTCATAAAACCTGCAGTTACTGCCTTGATTGAGTCACAAGGCGCCTTTGGCAAAGCAGCACAGCAAATCCTTGCAGCATCCTGATGGTGCAGATGATGCTGCGAAGCACCCCAGTGTGTTGCTAGAGCAGGCAGGGCTGGGAACCTCCCCCTAGAGAGATGTGCCATCACATTCCACAGTCCCATTTGCGATTCAGAGGGTGACAAGTATTTTATGCTCTGATTGTGCAGTGCATGAGTCTGCATGATTCAGACTTGCTTCTGTCATGCATCAGGAGCCACCGTTCAGGGAGCGGGGAATGAGAAGAATGCTAAACTTCCCCCTGAAAGACAGATGGCATCTGAAGCCCCAGCAAATGGCTCTGCACATGGAAATGAAGTAAATCACTTGTTCCTGAGCAATGTGAATCAAGCTGGGCAGTATGAATTTTTCATATATGGAAGCTGATTTCCTTTTTTGTTGGGTGTTTTGTTTTTTTTTTTTTTTTTTTTTTTTGGCTGTGCTTTTTTTCCCAGAGAGTTTAGCAGACTTTAAGAAGATCTCTGACCTTGTGCCTCCATTTCCTGACGTCTGTGCAGGAGACAGTCAGTTCTGATCACTGTGAAGGAAAACCAGCAGAGACGCAATGAGAGAAAGACTAGAAAGAATTTGAAAGTTAGTTGAAACTCTTAATATTTCTCATGTAGATGAATGTTTCATGACATTTTCCTGCATTTTTCAAACAGCTCTAAGTATAAAGTCTCATAATCGTCTTTCAAAAAACATTCCTAAATAATAGGTCAAAATAGAACTGAGAAACAAATAGTATGGTTTACTGGAAATAGTTACCAAGTACATACGTGGCCATATCTTGCATATAAGAAGGTTTGTGTGCACACAAAAGGAATTTCTTGGGTTTGATTAATTTTCCTAGAATTATTAGGCATCCTGTAAGAAGTCTGTTCTGTCAAAAAAGCCTTAAATTATTTAATGAGAAGCACCACCCGAACATGCTGTCAAGGAGTTAATCATGCTGCATTCTAGTGTATGTTAAGTACTGTGCAATTTAGCTTCATAAATACACTCAAATGGAAATGGCTACATTCCTCCAGTGCATAATTTTCCATTCATATTTTCTAAGGTAAGACATATGTCTCTTCACATAGCTAGCATCATGATTATATATCATTGTTTTATGTGTATGGGAGGGAACTTTACTAAAGACCTTGGGGCAAGTTCCCACAAAGCTGAAACTGGCACAAGTACACTCGCTAGAAAAGGTGTGTCAGTCAACAGGAGGAAAATATGATTGAAAGAAAAATGTGTTAATGCTTTACACTAATGGTTATGAAATTATCTGCATGAAAGAAGACAAGTACTTTGGCTAATTAGGAATCAGGGGAAGTATAGGTTTTGTGTCAGACTAGACTGAGAATTGAATAAATTACTCTTGCATTTAATTGACATGTCAGGTTAACTACCTGAAGTGATGCCTAAGGATTTACCTATGGATTCACCTCTTTGATTTCAGGAATCAGTGCAATTTTAATTCCTTTTAGCTTTGAAGTGAACAGCATTGTTTGCTGGTACTGCCTTTCATTTGTTTTTTTATTCAGACATTGTAGCTACAGGAACGGTGTTGAAAAGTGATAGATCTGGAAAACTGCACTGAAACTTGATTGTGGGAGGTTTTTTTTCCCCCAGACATTTGCAGTGTTAGCATGAAGGATCTTTATGCATGATATAGTGAAAAATACAGTTTTTTCTATTAAAAAAAAATCATTATGGGGAACATAGAAAAGCTTGTGATCTCCATAAACAGCCAAATGCAAAACCAGGGAGCAAAAATAGGGCTCTATTTGAATAATGTGATTTTAATCTTTTGTAAAAGGCAGAAATTTGTACATATATACATATAAGCATATAAGCAGATGAGATGGTTTGATTTTGGCAAAATAATCCATTTTAGTGGTTTTCATCAAATAAAGTGATTTCTAGAGATGTAAAGTACTTAATTTGCAATAGAAAAAGCAAAAACCCCAGAAACAATGCGTAGTATCCTAGAACTCCATTTTTCCCATATTCTTTATAAGAAATTCCCTTCCTAATCCTTAAGGCAGATTGTGCTAGTAGTGATTGCTCTATTGAACCTGTTCTTAAAACTGTAGATCAGATTAATTTGGTTTAGTTTCCCATTGGTAACTGAGATGGTTTAGAACAACATGTTATTTTTTGGCTACTGTAACACTGGTTACAGCTTATTGACATGGTATAAAAGTACCTGCATATGTTCACATCAGGGAGGTTGAGGATGGGTGCTGTATGGCCTGGCTCTTTCTCATATTTGTGTAAGATGAATTTATGGCAGTCAGAAGAGGTATACAATGTAAAGCTGATGCAAGTGTGAGAAAAACCAGGTGAAATGTGCTTTGCAGTACAGTGTTAAAAAGCCATCTGAAGACGTACAAGCTGTTTCCCTGTGGTTCCAAGTCAGCACAGGATTTTGGCAAGGGGTGAAGCTCAGTAAGTGAGGGCCTTATTCAAATAAGCATAGCTACTGCTGCCAGCACTGGAGGTGGTTAATGGGGTCCCATATTGAGGACTTTGTTGAATGAGATCGCTTTCATCACTTGGAACCTGTTAAATAGTGACTTGCTCCACCCCCCCCCCCAAAAAAAAAAAGTCTTGAAAGACTCTGTAGTTGTGGAAAGAACCAATTCTTCATATGTGACCGTTGTGAGTTAATTTCTGTACTGTTGCTGCTCTATGAACTCCTGTGTACATCTGACCCACTCGTCTTCTGAGCTGGAATGTAATTGTGCTCTGTACAGTACACACTTTACCTGTCTCCTGTTTAAACAGCATCTTCCCTAGCCAACAGCAGGCCAACCCCTTACCACCTGCGGAATGGCATGTGAAGATGCTTTACTGCCTATTCTGAGTTTTTCTGGTGTGTTTCACAGTATTTTTAATAGTGCCATTTTTCCACTGTTTGCCTTACACAGTGAGTGAATTCTTTCTGTTGTTCTTTCACTTGAGAAGAGGGAAGGAGGGAAAACTTTTAAAAGTAAAGGTTGACATGACCATGGAGCTCCCAGTTTGTCAGGGAGCCTGCTGAGCAGATGTGATATTTGGAGCTACTTTAAACTTTTTTGTCTTTTTTAATTGAGTAGATACCAAATTGAGAACATGCAATTAATTCCAAATTGCCCTTTCTGCCTTCAGCATATCCTTTCTACTCTTAGCATGGATGACTGCATAGGTGAGCACAGAGCCCGTTCAGCGCTCAGCATA